ACACACACACACACACACACACACACATGCACACAAACACACACGAGGTGCTCTGTTCATGTACCCAGAGTTTAATCAGACTTCATCTTAATGTCTGAGAACACACACCGGTCCATTTACTGAGCGTGTTTAGGTGTGTGTGTGTGTGTGTGTCTGTGTGCAGCCTGGAAGATTGTCGTCTCAGATGTCTGATTGAACACACACACACACAGGTGCATAAACACACACATCCACTCACTCAGGAGGCGGCGAGTCATCCGGTTTACATTCCCTCGTAGCAGCTGCTGAGACTGCTGGATTAATACTGCAGGTAGATCAAACACACACACACACACACACACACACACACACACACACACACACACACACACACACACACACACTTCAGTGGAGGGAAGCCCAGCAAGTACCCCACCACTGAATAATACTTCTTCTACAAAAGCTTTTCCACAATAACAGCTTGATTGTTTGAAACGCAGGTGAGTCAACAGGAATGATTGTCATCATGGCCGCCTGCCCCGGCTGTCCCCCCAACCCACACCTCCACCTTCCCAGGGTGGGGCAGTGGGACACTTTGGATCAGAGTTACTGAGGCAGACTTTCAGGCAGGCACTTAAAGCTGGCGAGGACCCAGAGCAGCTGAAACCAGGAGAACGAGGAGGAGGCACAGGCCGGGGGGGCGGGGCGCAGGCCGCGAGCCCCCCGAGAGGACGGAGGAGGTCCTGATCTCCGAGCTGAGGAAGGTGGACAGGGGGACGTGGGACACCAGAGTGGGACTGGCGTAGTTAATGAGGGAGTCGATCTTCTCAGCCTCCTTGCTGCAGGCTTGGATCTGGAACACAGGAAGGATTGGAGAGTCAGAGATTTGAACTCTTTATCTTCAGACTYGTGTTTAAGACGAGTCCCAAGTGATGAGCTTTGACAACAAACAGAATATAAAGATATCTACGCAGCACTGGCAGAAAYGGAATTCAACTGTTCTGTACTCCTACAGACTCAAAATACACAACATGTGTTTAATAGCTGAAAAAGTAAATTCAGCACATGTCCACTGAAGCTAAACATCACCTGTACTCTTTTTCCTGGAATCTGCTGATGTTTCCCTCCTTGGCATTGTGTTAACACACCTGCATGCTCCAGAGCAGCAAACGGACTAAACCGCTGCTTCTATAGAGGTGATTCCACTGAAGATGATAAGTTAATGCAGATCAGCAGCTTTGGCTGACACCACAGTKGTTGTTGGGTTTATTTTCAGCTGCCCCCTTCTTTAGGAGTCATCACAGAAAGTAAACTCACACGAAACACTTGGAATTTGTTCTACATAAGCTCCTCCTGATGTAAGCTGGGCTCGAGCCTGCAGCCTCAGGATTAGGAGATGAAACACTGAGCTCCAGCAGACCCCCCGGACCTGGCTGATGCTGAACCTCTTAAATCCTGTGGAAGCAGCATGGCTGGACATGGTGGAGTGTTGTGTGWTTTTTACTTGAGGTTAAAYTTAGATAATTTAAGAACACAGTAAAGATGAAATTGATAATATTATGTGTTGATGTGAAAACATCGTACAAGATAACAGGATGGACTTTCTTTTTACCATGACTGAACATGGACAGAACACAAAGGCAAATCAATGGTTTTCATCTTGATGTACTGTTGTCCTAAAATGATTTAAAAGAAATTATATATTTTCTAGGTATATAGTTCAATTCTATACCACTATGTTACCTTTAGTTGTWTATATMAAAGATAAATCGGAYTTWGYATCACAGTCTATCCAAACACCCTGAAATTGGGCTCTGTCTCTTTAAGAACCTCCTACCATTTCCAACACTCCCACTTCAGCACGTCTTCACAACAATGTTTCGGGGGAGGGGTGCTCTGTGGGGCAGGAGTTCACCTGAAGACTGAGCTCCAGGGAGGAGCTTTGTACAAATAGGCGGAGCTTTGTACAAATAGGTGGAGCTTTGTACAAATAGGTGGAGCTTTGTACCAGCAAGCACTTAGGCAGCTCCACATGGCTACAGGAGATTCAAGCATTTCTCAAAAATCCATGAATGAGTCAAAGCAACATGTGTTTTTGATGAGAGAATGACATTAGAACACGATATAAAGCTAAAAAGCATGGTTTTGCATAACACCCCCCCCCCCTTTAATAATAAACATATTTCAATAAAATGTTCAGCTGTGTAAATGTAGCAAAATGTCTCGGAGGTTRTAATAATGAGGAGCCTTTTCTGTTTAGGCTTTTGAGATCATACATGTTACCTGCAGTGGGGTTGGCTGGTGGTCCACTGGGGCGATGAGGACTACCAGCTGGTGGTCGATACTCAGGTAACCGAAGATGTCACACTGTGGCACAGAGACATACAGCCGCAGAGTCTGAAGGACGTCAAGGACGGTCACCGGGTGGTTCTTATTCAGCTGCAGGAGGAAGACCACAGACTGACCTGATGACTGAGCTCCACGTCTCTTTATAAACTCTCGTAATATTGTTTTGTAAAGAATCAATGTGCAAAATAATTTACTGCAACAAAATCAGCATTTTAATCATTTTGAAAAAGAATAATTTGTATTTTTGTAAAGGTGTATTTTTAAATCCTCCTCAAACTCTTTATTTCTGCTTGTTAGTTCTGATTGAAACAGACTACACTCACACTGAAGGTCTCAATGCTAAATTCTGATGTTTTGTTTAGATCCAATACTTTTTGCATGGTTTAACATCAGAAATTTAACCGTGACCCCATCAGACTGCAGTCTACGATTGGACTTCTGTTCTGTAGCTGAAGACGAGCACAGTTCAAACCTTTAAACTGCATGAAGCTGGTACTGATAACATCAACAACTGGATCCATCTGTATACCCCTACCTGAATGATATCAAGGTTGGATGAAATGTGGCAAGACTGTTCAGACTGATCTCTTCCAAAAACATCAAGTTCAATTTATTTCGTTCATAAAAACAAAATCTAGATACAGCAAAAATAAAAATAAAAAGTAAATCATGTCGTGAATGAAAAGGGTGCAGCGTGAGGAAAAAATCTCATCATATTTGCCACTTATTTAAAAAAAGAGAAACAAATTTAAGCTTCAATGATCTCCAACTTTACAAAAAATAAAACAAAAAAAGCATCAGATAAGTTTATTTCCATTAAATGGAAATAATTATACAAATTATGAAATAATTAATAACAACAACAACAATTATTATTATATACACATGTATTTTGTTGCTGTATTTTTGTCTTCTGCATTTTTGCAGGTTGTGCAGACAGATGTCGGGTGTATTGTCTTTGTTTGTGTCTGTGTTTTYTTGGTGTWTATCTCACATATCTTCAATTCTCTTTTTCAWTCTTTCCCATTACATTTCTCCTTTKTCTTTTTCTTATTCTCTAGATKTCCTTCTTAAAAYAAAAGCAGAAGTTCTGACTTTAAATCAAACCGAGGAATTAACTAAATTAGACTCTTTTCCTACCTTAGAGAAAGTGTTCATCAGCTTCTGGCTCCAGAGGATCTGCAGCATGCTGCCACAGACGGGACAACAGGCTCCTGCAAACAGGTCAGAGGTCACTCTAAGTTCCCTTCCTGACTGCTCCTGACCACTGTGTGGGGCCGATCCACTCACCAGGCGGGACGATGGGTTGGCAGCCAGGGGTCGTTATCGGGGGACAGGAAACCAAGCTGCACGCTGAATCGCGGGCCACGCCGGACACGGCCCCCACAGTGTGGCAGGGACCCTCGTAGTCAACAGCCACGCGGTCGGAGAAGGCGTGGCACATTGTGTCGTAGGTCTCACCGTTATGAGCACAAACTTTCTGGGGCYTCCTGCAGGCTTCCTGCAGATATCAGGGAGTTTCAATAAAATCTGTGCAGACAGACAGACACGGACTGGGGCAAAAGCATTTTCGCTTTTTTGTCAGTGGACAATACCCCCCC